ACTTAAAATGCAAATGGAAGCCAGTCATGAGGGCACACATCTGCAGTCCCAGCACCTGGGAGGCTGAGGCAAGAGGATCACCACATGTTCAAGGCCAGTGTGAACTACAGAGCCAGGCCCTGTCTTAAAAAAAAAAAAAAGTACAAGTTAAAATTAAAAGGTTATTTTAAAAATCAAACTGGAAAAGTTGATAGAATGTTAGAAAATTATGGCCGATGGGATCACATTAGTAGATTTTGAGTTGTTACTGTATCAGATACCACTTATTAACAAAACATTATGAAATGACCTTTATGGAATCTGTTTAAAACAGGAATGGTACCATGCCCCTGTAATCCCAGCACTTGGGAGGTTGAGGCAGAAGTATCCTTGTGAGTTCCAGGTGAAGGCCAGCCTGAACTGTGTAGTGTAACCCTGTCTTAAAAAGGCAATAGAAAAAAATAAGGAATTTAGGTTAATGAGGAAAGAATATACATAAATAGTAAAAATACAAGTGAAAAAGAGTACAAGTGAATGAATATTTTAATTTCTATAATAAAGACTTGTTTAAAAGTAAAAGCTGGCATTTGAATGCTCTTGAACAGGAAACAAAAGGTTGTCAGGCAGCACAAGAGAAGGGCCTACATCTATAATCCCAGCTATTGAAGCAGGCCAATGGCAAGTTCAGGCCACCCTTGGTAACTCAGTGAGACCCTGTTTCAAATTTAAAATTAAAAAGGGCTGGAGATGTAGTTCAGTAATAGAGTGCTTCTGATTCAATCCCTAGTACTGGAGAAAAGAGAGACAAAGGAGTTGAAGTTTAAGGCAGAGGAGACTAGCAAAGATGAAGGTACCGTATTGGGAAATAGAGTACGAGAGAGCACAGAGAATCTTGGGGGAAAAATTTTAAGAAAGAACCTGGCGTGACAAAGAATTTGGGTTTGTTTTTGTAGACCATAGGAAGTTAACATGGTTTTAAACAAAGAAGTGGTAATCTTTTTAAAGCAATGTTGGCATCAGTGTTGAGGGTGGAGACCCCAGCCAATGAAGAGACTATGAAAACAGACCAAGAAGTAGGTGGTGGTAAGGCAGGGGTATGACTTGCAAGACATTCTGTAGAATAACAGGATTTGATGGTCCTGAGGAGGATAAAAGAATTCTAAGAAAAATCTTAAATTTCTGGCTTCAAAATTAGGAGTGGTCCTGTTATCTATAATAAAAATACAAAACTTGGGTTGAATTTAGGAAAGAAGCTGAGTTTTACATTAAAATAAACCTACAGGAAAGTCATTCAGGCAAAGATTTCTATTCTTTACCTGAAAGAAAAAACAAAAAACTATTGAATAGGAAATACGAAATTGAGTCAGAGTAATTGGAAGAGACATACAGTGTGTACATTAGAAGTAGATGAAAATGCTTGATGCAGACCAGTAGACATAAAAGTAAGACTAATAGCCAGTAATTCATAGTACTGTATTTGAGAAGCAGGCAAAAGAGGCTGTGAGATCCAGAAAGAACAAACAGACCTTTGGGAGTTTGGCCCAGTTGAATAAGAACAGCTGTAAACATCACTTAAAGAAGTTAAGAGATTCTTAGTGGCTGACTTAGAAAAGTTAATACCGTCTCAAAATCTATAGATTTTACAATTTTGTCCCTAGAAGTTTTAATAAAATGTTGTCTTAGGGCCAGCCAAATAGCTCAGCGGACTAAAGTACCTGCAAGCAGGCACAGGGGCCCGGGGCCTGCCATGCCGACCCTGTTCCCAGGGTGCACTGAGATGGCATGAGACTGGGCGTGGTGGCCTGTGCCTGTAATCCCAGCACTTGGGAGGCTGTAAACAGGAGACTCACTACAAGTCCAATCAAGTAGTGAGACTGTGAACACCCTGTAGAACCTTCCCTAAAATACAGAAGAAAGAAAAAGTCATCTTAATGTACCTGTAGAATTCAGCAATTTCAGAATCAGTTAACAGAAAAGTAATCAGTCTGGCATTTTGTCTTGAAATTTTAGTGGGAAAGGAGGGAGTGACAACAAACAATTTATCTAAAGGTAAGAGAAAAGGACCCATCTGTAAGGGGGAAACCATGGATAGATAGGTACCCAGTTAACACAGATCGGTTCATGATATTGAAAGAGAAACTCAATTTGTAAATTACCCTTTAGAGATGCATCAGCCAGGATGTAGCCAGAAATCAAATATGGCTGTTGGGCTTCCGTAATGGGGCTTGCTTGAATTGAGACGTGTTAGGAGTATAAAATACACAGGCTTCAAAGACTTTGATATACAAAATTTGTTTTTATATCACACATTGAAATGATATTTGAGGTATACTGTGTTCAATAATAGGTAGGGTAAAAATTAAGTTATTTCTAGCCTCTTTCCAGTCTCTTTAGTCTTGCACAAGATAACATTTCAAAACTAAAGGAACCTTAGAGTCAGCCAGCTTGAAACTGCTTTTATTGTAGATGTAACTGATACTGAGAAGTTGATGGTATTGCCTGAAGAGCACCTCAGGAGTTGAACCCAAGATATGGTCCATTTTTTCAAATACCTTGTATGCCATACTCTTTCCAAAACAATTTTATGCCTTTCCATTAATGCTAACCTCAGTTTTGTTATCATTTTTCTCTCTGAGTCAGTACTTTTGCTCCATCTCCCAATAAAATTTCCATCAAACTGCTACATTGTAATATTTAATCATCTGGTGTTTCCAATTTTATTCTTCCTGAGGTACAAGGAAACCAAAATTATCTGTACATCTGCCTTAAAAGTAGATCTTTTTTTCCCTTTAGAAAAGGATTTTATTTCATCATAGAAACACAACCTGGAATAAATGACTCCTAATGGAAACACCTACAGCTATCTTTATCCCCTAGCTTCACTTCTGAGATGTAAACAATTAAAATTTAACAAGGTTGCAGCCTTAAATCTGTTGGAAACATTCCAAGTAAAAATAATTTAACAAAAATTATACACACTTCCTACAAAATCATACACACTAACCTCCTTTAGAAACCAAATCATTTAACCACCCATTTTCTGCTGCTACACTTGAGGGTGTAAAAAGTGAATGTTTTAACGTGAAGGAGCATCAAACTACTGATACTCCCCCAAGATGGAGAGCAGGTTGAGTTTTCCACTTTCTCACCAGGACTCAATGTGCCAGGATTATCTTCTCTTGGCATTCCATTTTTTTTCTCTCTCCTTTTTAAAATTACAAAAAGGGGGGGGGAGAGAGAGAAAGGGCCCACCATGGCAAGGTGCCCTTGGTCCCTGTGAGTGTGTGGTAACCCTCCCATCTCATAGTCCCCCACTTCAGCTGCAGCACATCACTGGCCTTGGCTTGCGAACACAAATTGCACTCCGTGGTCTTCATTTTCACCAGTGTTCCTCTTTGTGATTTCCCTGACTAGAGGATGGGCCACATTGTCTGATCAGCAGTTTCAAAAGAAAATTAAAATTAGCGGTGCCCAATGCGCCTTGTGTGTGTGGCTAATGAGAATGAGTTTCTGGTCCCCGGTCTTATGGTGAACTGTGGTCTTGGGTTCCTGGGACACTGGCTGCATAAGAAACTTGGCTTTCATGCTGACAGGCAAGAGGCACAGGATGCTGGGAGGCCCAGCCCTTCATTACCTGTTTGTGATTCCATGGTGGCTGCGGGGGGACTGGGAGTTCTCATGGTGGCGGCTGCACCCTCCGCTCCTCTCCCTGCTGCTGCGCTGGCCTTTGCTGTGGGACTTCCACAGGTCAGGGCTGTCCCCGTCCATGCACGAGAGCTTCTGGCGTGGCCGCTGCTCCTTGCGCTGCAGCCTTGAGTCTTCACTGTTAGCTGCAGTTCTGGACCAGCTTGTGTTTGCTGGGGGTGGCTGGTGAGCTCTCCTGACCTGTGTGGCTGACACATGGACTTTGCCAGGCTCCCAATTACTCTTGACTCTCTTCAGCTGGTCTTCCTCCTTGGGCACACTGTGGTCGCAGGCAGGAACACCCCTGGCATGCTTGCTGTCCTTGGGGATTTGGGCGAGAATCCCCGGGTACCTCTTCTCCAGGGAGTCACCCTCCAGAACCACACAGAGTGGATCCAGAGCCTCCTTGTACCTGACTTTGGCTGTTCTGCTGCCTGTCATGTCCTTGGGTGTGCAGTCAGTGTGCACTTGGGGCTGGGGCAGGGCCTCCTTGGGGGTTCTGGGAGCCAGTGGGCCCCCAGGGGGGTGGAGCATGGCTGCACAGGAGATGGAGCTGCCGGAAGTGGTCTGCAGAACCTCTTGCTTGGGCTGCAGCAGGTCTTTGTGCAGGTGTGTGTCATGGGGCTGCTTGCACAGCAGGGAGGTCCGCTGCTGCACCTGCATCTTATGCTCCTTTTCCCCCTGCCTCAGCTCCTTCTGCTCCTGTTTCTCCAGCTTTGCAGCTTTGGCTCTGCTCAGCAGCGCCACCAAAAGCCGGATGGACTGGAGGTTCCTCTGAACCAGCCTCAGCTTCCTCTCCTCCAGTTTGATCCTGTGGAGCTTTTTCTGCTCTTCTGCCTGAAGCCTCTCTAGATGCTTCTGACTTCTCCAGAACTCTCGGCCCCTCTGCTTTTGCGGTCTTTTGTGAATCTTCTCTCCCCCCTTCCTCTCTCTTGCCAGTTCTTCCAGCTCCTTCAGTTTTCTTTCCTTCACCCGCAGCCTCTCCTCCGCTTCCTTCTCTCTGCGCTTCTGTTCTCGCTGCTGCTCCAGCTCTTGAAGCTTCTGTCTTTCCAACTGTCGTTTTTTAATTGAAGCTTCTCCCAGGTGTTTGGTGGAATCAAGAGAAACTTTGATGTTACAGGCCACAGCCTTACCATCCTTCCCTTTGTACATTAGCTTCATCCCACGCAAAGCACTCATGGCCTGAAGGAAGCCCCCATGCTCGCAGTACTGTACGTAAGCCTCAAAGCTCAAGGGTCCCCCGAAACCAAACACGTGGAAATTTCGACTGGTCATCTCCTCGCGGTAGGGGTCCAACATGGGGATGTCCACATTCCTGATCTCCCCGAACTTCTCAAACACCTTGACGAGTACCTCCTGGCTGGGTTTCTCTGAGCCTAATTCCTTCTGGGTGAACCACTTGCAGGGCAGCCCCTCTAGATGGATGGTGTCTGGCCACTCCCCCAGCAGCATCTCATTCCCTTCCTTTGCGTTGAGAGAGAAGTCCAAGTCACCACGGGTGGGGAAGTCCATCTTGAACTCAGTGGCGTGCACCTTTAGGAGGTCAGAGAAGCCACTGAGCTTAATGGTCTTACCGTCCAGGCAGGCTAGGAATGATTTGACCAGGCTTTTGTTCTCCACCTCCCCCTCAAAACGAATGAAGTCCATAGTGCTCTTGGAGATGCGCAGTGTGGAGAACTGGTGGTTGTGCACCATGTCCTTGAGCCGCTCCATCACCTCCCAGTTGGAGATGGATTTCCCAGGCTGCTGCAGCTGCGGAAGGGCCACGCTGATGGTCATCTTCGTGATGGGCTTCAGGTACAGGCCATAAGAGGGGCACAGCTCCACTGCCTCAGATGTGTCATGCACTATGGTAGTCAGAGCCATAGCCAGGATCTTAGCCCTGAAACATGAGATGCAGATGGTCAGGGTGAGGCTGGGGGACAAAGAGGCACCATGGCAGCAATTTGTTGTGTTGTTACAGGAACTGCGCTCTGCCTCCTTAAAGGCTATCACCATCTACTGAATTTTCTAGTTAGCATGGAAGAGGGGTTGTGTAATGGGTCTGGACAAAAGATTGTGCACTCTCAAGGGCACAGGGCACTCCAAAAAACTTGAGCCAGAGCAGCTCTGCCGCATAGTGGGTATGCCTGGCAGGCACCAACAACTCCATCCCCCAGGTATCCCTGGTATTCTGGTATCCTCACCCCATCTGTCCAGCTATCTCCTAGATTCAGGTACCTGCCCCAGCCCTCCAAATTTTGAGCCCCCTACTGTCCCAGTTTCCAGGGTTCACCAGTATCCCTGGACATCACAGACCCCTATGTACATGTGGCAGCCACATTCTTACCCTGTAGCATAGTACCTGTCTCCTAGGGGCCCTACATTGTATATATCTCAATAACTCAGTGTAGTGCTGCCACCCCTGGGGGCCAGGATAACTAATCCAGCTGTTGACTGAGCCTGGGCTGCCACATTGGGACCAGATACCACCTCCAGAGCCTCTCTGCACTCTGGGATACTCAACACTGCCCCTGGACTGCCTTTAGCTCCCTAGTACCCCCATGAAATCCCTGGTATCTCTGTAGCCCTTTGCCACTGCCAAACCTCTTTAAGTTCCACCCCACAGACTCCTGCTACCACCTTTCATGCCACCCTTCCAGCACCACCAAACTGGCACCTCCGTTTGCCTCCGCGCCTCCGCCCCGCCCCCCCGTTCCTCCCCCAGACCTGACTGCCACTACCTCCCCCCAACCACCACCCAGAGCCCACTGCCCTAGCCCTGGAAGTGACCTTGAGTACTCCTAGACTCGCAGCATGGCCCCCACCCCCAGCCCCTTAGCAGCCGGGTACCGCCCCCAGGCCTGCCCCCCATACCTGGTTCCGCCCCCTGAGGCCCAGGGGCAGGACCAAGACCAGTAGAGAGGAGAGGCAGTTGAGGGCATCAGAGGACGTTCTGAGCAGGGCTCGGCCTGCAGCGCGGTTCTCCCCGCCCCCCGCTGCGCCCTCACCTTCTGCCCAAATCTTGCACATGTATCAGATGTTATCGCCAGTACCCAGCGTGACTTCGTAATACAAGCAGATACTCTTTAAAAAATCTTCGATCTTTCACAGGAGTGTATAATAGCTAAAAAAAAAGTCTCCTTCCGCAATAAATAACTTTTTAAATTCAGTTTACCTAAAGGTTTGCCTTATTCCCTTTCTGGTCTTTCCAACTAGTTAAATCCGTTCTTCTGTTACTTCTACAGCCTAACTCCGGAATCCAAAAGTATGTCAATACATTTCATGAAGGTAAAATGATAAATGTTTAGCTTCTTTGTTTTCCTATGTGCCTTTTTAGTTTTAGTTCTACTTAACCTCATCAGAAAAGTTTATTTTATCGCCGTGTGCTGATGAGAGCTCATGTGTAAAATGCTATCTTTAATGGATGGCAATTACAACAAGGACTAGATAAGCATTTTATGCTTCCATAATGGTGAGCAGCCTATTGAAGTCTGTTCTCAACACATAAGGAAAATTTAAGCACTCCCTTTCTTTTTAGATAAAAATGAAGATTTAAAGAAACTTGCAGAGAATGAAATTACTCTGTGTCAAAAAGAAATAACGCAGTTAAAGCACCAGGTATGGTATTTGTGTAAACAGTGAAGCATTTCTGCCATCTCTGTGTCTCTAGCATTAGCTGAGGCGTCGTCCTAGAGCTCCAACCTTGCATGCTTCTCTTCCATATTACAGCAGCTTCCAGATTCAGATTTGAGTGCATTTTCTTCCATATCAGTCCTACCTGTAACAAGCACTTGTTTCTTATTAATAGAATGGAGACCTGATAAAAAGCATGTAAGAACTCTTAAGATAAAATAAATATTAGGTTGACTCTTATACAATGCAATTGTAACATTTAAGGAAGATTTTCTGCATTATATTTTTCTAATTGTCAAGGTGGCGACATTATTAAATTTTTATTTGCTTAGAATAATGCTCCAGGAACCCCCATCTGCCCAGCTATCTCTTAAGATCCAAGAACCCTCCCCAGTCCTCCAGATTTTGAACTCCCCTTAATGTCCCATCCCTTAGGGCTCCCCATGTTCTTGAGTACCCCAGACCTCTGTATATATGTGGCCCCCACAGTACCAGCCCTCTTATACCTTTGGGTTTGGAGATTAAATTTTAATTTTTGATTATGGGATAAGTAATATTTTTGTATTTACAGATTGTCTTACTTTTGGTTCCCTCAGAAGAAACTGATGGCAAGGATTTGATCCTGGAGGTAACTGCAGGAGTTGGGGGTCAGGAGGCAATGTTGTTTACTGCAGAGATGTTTGCTATGTATCAGCAATATGCTGCATTTAAAAGATGGAATTTTGAAACCCTGGAATATTTTCCAAGTGAAATAGGTCAGTGAACTGTTCATTTTGATTTGGTAAAATGTATTCTTATTTATCTACTTATGTTCTAGGAAAAAGGTTAACAAGACCATGACTAGCTGTAGAACTTTTTTTACGGAAGCTTAGTTTTGTGATTATTTACTTAATAATTTTGAGTGTAAGCGTATCACTTTTGAAATGGCCCGTAAAATCTCATTAGTCATTCAGTAGTAACTGTGGAGTGACTCTGTCTTTAAAAATAGTCTTTTAAATGTGTCATTGATGTTAATTCATTAGTACCAAAAATCAGTTGTGTTTAATAATTATAGAACAGTAAAAGAGTAAGACCAAATAACAAAGACATGCTATAGTTCTTTAATATGCTTATTTTTTTATTCTGTCTAGTATAGTTCAAAGTAGTAGCCAAGAACTCATAAATAGCAAGAATAATAAAAAGAATTCTATTTTCTACTTTCAAGGTGGCCTCAGACATGCTTCTGCTAGCATTGGGGGGTCAGAAGCCTATAAATCTATGAAATTTGAAGGAGGAGTGCACAGAGTTCAGAGAGTGCCCAGGACTGAGAAGCAAGGCCGTATCCATACCAGCACAATGACAGTGGCCATTTTACCCCAGCCTACTGAGGTGAGGGATCCTTATGCCCTGGTGGTGGAATCTTGAGCCCACCTTACTTCTTGCCTTGTCTTTGAGAATGAAGTATGGATTATTTGAGAATGAAGATTAATCAGCAGTTTCTGTTAATTAATTTTAAGGAAATTTTTACTTCATGGTAGTGTTAATGATTCTTTTAAGTATAATTGGTGTGGGGTGTGAGAATATGTGTGTGTGTGTGTGTGCATGCACGCTTGCCTGTGTGTGCAGCCTGCATGGGGAATGGAACAGGGAAGAGAGAAAATGAAAAAGTAAATGGCAGTAGCTACCAATAAGGACTACCCTCTTTGGTTTAACCACGCTGAGTGGTTTAAATTTGCAGGTGGTGAAAGCTTTTATGAAAGGATGGGAGAGGGGTTCCTGTATGGTCCAGTTCTTCTGGCAGTTTTAGGAAGGAATCCTGTGGAGAATTAAGAGACTAAGGGCATGACAGCATTCATACTGCCAGGACCATAGACAGGTCAGAGTAGTCAGTAGTTGTTCAGGGAACAGAGCTTTATAGACATAGTGCTTCTGAGGGTGACGCCCAGGACACAGCACTGTCCTGCTGTCACCACACAGTGTAGTCACTGAGTCTGTACGCTCAGCTTCTGAGCCTTCACCATGTTCCTTTACCTCAAGATGCATGAAATAAAACCTTTTTCTATTAAAGCTTGCATCTTCCTCTCTCAAGAAAGCTTGCATATTTCTTGAATGTAGAAATATTCTGTAAAAGAAAAGAACGTAATTTACAGAGAAGCTCAGTTTTTGAGAATTAGGAAGTGTTTACTTTTCTGCCTTTTTTTTTTTTTTTTTTTTGATTCCCTTCTCTTCTGGAAAGAAAACCTAATTGTATCCTTCTAAATACAATGTATTCTTTTTTTTTTTTTTTGGTGGAACCGGTGATTGAGCTCAGGCCCTTGTGCTTGCCAGGGAAACATTTATTCCACTGAGCCATCTCCCCAGCCCAGCCTCTACAATTTATTCTTAAAAGTAAATCTTTTAAATCTTATATGAACTCTACATATGTAACGTGTGTTTATAAATAAGCCTTTATATAGTGGTACATGTAAATTTTTTTAAATGTTGATATTTCTTCCCTCGTGTAGATTAATTTGGTGATTAATCCTAAAGATCTGAGAATTGAAACAAAGCGAGCCAGTGGAGCAGGGGGTCAGCACGTGAACACCACGGACAGTGCTGTCCGGATAGTTCATCTTCCAACAGGTATTTTCTGGGACATAAAACACGGAAGAGAGGGGTTGGGGAGATGGCTCAGTGGAATAAGCGCTTCCCTGGCAAGCGCAAGGCCCTGAGTTCAATCCCCGGTTGCGCAAAAAAAAAACAAGAGAAGTCAGTTTCTGAGGGAAGTAACTAATTTTCCATTGATTTAGACCCTCAATACGAAAGAAATTGTATCACTGAGGATTGTTATTCATTACATGATCTTAAAATCTGTAGCTGATACTTTGCAGGGTGGTTACAAAGCCAGGAAGAGGGAGAGGTCTGAGCCCATGGAGTTCCTTCATTAGTGATTGTGGAGAGAGGTATCTGTCAGTAATCCTTCAGTGCCTTTCTAAAGTAAATGTTCAATAATTTTAGATATATTTTAAATGCTCACAGTGAAACTATTATTATGGTTCCTTATTAAAAAAATACCCTAAGTCACTACCTCTTGTCCTTGTCTGAGGACTACTTTTTTTTTTTGGGGGGGGGACCGGGGGTTGAACTCAGGCCCTTGTGCTTGCCAAGGAAGCGCCTATTCTACTGAGCCATCTCCCCGTGTCTGAGGACTTCTTTCAGAAAATGACAACAGTAGTCCTCCTGCCAAGAAATACACCTCCAGATAAAATATGCATATAATTTAAGGGGTTTCTGTCTTTTATTGAATTTATTCACAGACTTCCAAGGGATCTGAGCCAGTCATTAGGTAAAGGAACTGTATCTAAATCTTCTTAGGTGAGTGTACTACTATGTAGAATTAAGTAGTAAGTGTTACTATGGTGCTATATGTGTGTAAAGAACATAGGGCTCAGTAGAATAAGTGCTTCCCTGGCAAGCGCAAGGGTCTGAGTTCAATCCCTGGTTCCATCAAAAAAAAAAATTTAATAGCTATCACTCTAATTCTAGGAAATTAATCTTATGTATCTTAGTTTCTATAAGGAATTATTTCTTCAAAAAATTAGAGTAAGGGAGGATATGGGTAGGTGTCTCAGTTATTGTTCTCTCATTGCTGGGACAAAATACCCAACACCCCAGATGAAGGAAGGAAAGATTTATTTGGCTCACGGTTTGTGGCGGTTTCAGTCCATACTCAGCTGGCTCCAAGGCAGAGTGCCACATGGCAGGGGGCGGCAGTTCATGGTGACAGAAAATGGCAGAACAGCTAGGGAAGAGCAGCAGCAGTGGCAGAGGCCACTTGCCCTTTCTTACACTGTGCTCCGGCTATTGCTGTGTAGCACTCACACCCATAATTCCTGCATTGGATCATGAATTAATCATGAACTCTAGAAGCCACCCCATGACTGCATGAGGACTTGGGGGACAACCAAACACAAACCATTTTGTGGTTATTGTTTAGTATGTATGCTTTCCATATGTAAGTACTTTGTTGTACAGCTTACAGTTTTCTGATAAACTTTATAAAGTTTAATATCTACCTTTTACGTTAGCATATTGTTTGTCCCTAATAAAGGAAAAAAAGTTAAGGAAAGATGGTGTTACTTGATGGTAAATTCAGGTTATTCTGTTTTCTTTAATCCTTATTATAATATTCAGGTGTTGTTTCTGAATGCCAACAAGAGAGATCTCAACTTAAAAATAAAGAAATGGCTATGAAAAAGTTACGTGCAAAGCTGTACAACATGCAACTGGAGGAAGAAACAAGTAAAAGATACAGTGCTAGAAAGATTCAGGTAAGAAGTAATGCTTCAAAAAGGTAAACGTTTTTTGTTAACTCAGTATTTGTATGTTAAAACTGTTTACATGTATTTGTCAAAATAAGAAATCAGGTAGCTTAAATAAGGGCTATTCCTGTTCTGTAGTAATCTTATAACTGTGCCCTATTTTCTCTTTCTCAGCCATTGTCAAAGTTACTGAAAAAAACAGATAGACTTGGTAGTAATTCTTCAGTGTGAGGCATTCATCATCTCATCACTACTCAGATGCCTACATTAATTCACAGAGTGTGAAGATAACTATTTACCAGCTTCTATATACACATCATCACTGTAGTAGACATTATTTGTCTTTATTTTACAGATAGGGACATTAAAGTTTAAAGTTGAAATCAATTGCCTGGTGTCATACAGCATTAAAGTGGGACACAGGATTCAAATACTAATCTGATTATAAAGCCCACATTCTTATTTCTATCATGTTCCCAATGTCTTTTGGGGATTCACAGTATTAAAATTTGATTCTTGAATTATGATTTATATTACAAATCAAGAACATAATCCCAGATAAGCCGTATTTGTAGGCTTAAGCTATCCTGAATCTAACTGTGTATCATATCTTTTTTTTTTTAACAGATTGGAACTAAAGGAAGATCAGAGAAAATAAGAACATATAATTTTCCACAAAACCGGGTCACAGATCACAGAATAAACAAATCACTGCATGATCTTCAAACTTTTATGAGAGGAGATTATTTACTAGATGAACTTATACAGTCATTGAAAGACTATGCTGATTATGAATCTTTGGTAGAAATTATTTCTGAAAAAGTTTAAGGTGATTTGTTATTAAAGTCTTTTATACAACATATGGCTTAGAAAAATTTTATGACAGCAAATACCCACTAGTATTTTCTTGAAAAACATGAGTTAACACAGTAATGTGTGTATTCTTAAGACATGGATCATTAGTGTAGATCTCTCAGTGTATTAGTAAAACATACACATAGGATCAACAACACCGTTGTCATAACTTCAAACTCTTCTGCATAACAAGTAAAGTAATAAATAGTCATTTGTTTCCTGTAAAGTATTTAATTGACAAAAATTTTGTTTAGCTATTAGGAATGCTTCAAACATAAAATAGAAATATGGCAATACATACAACGTTAGTCAGTGTCCAGTCAGCAGCCCAAAACCTTGTCATTAATTTGACTGACAATGGCATAGAAAACAACTCAAATACACTCACATTGAGATTGTACCTTCAGATTGAGGAAACACAAAATGAAAGAACACTCTCGTAGACCACAGGCTCCTGTTAGCAGGTGTGGTTGCAGATTACTTGGTGATGGAAAGCTTTCTGGGTTGCCCTGGGCCAGAGCTGGTCTGCAGCTGGTCTACAGCTTGGTAGCCCAGGAATTATAAGCAGATGACCTTAGGGCCTCAGCAACTGATAAGGGAGAAACTTTAACATGTAAATAAAACTTAGTGAATAGTAAGCCTTTCTCTATTACAGTTCCTTAGAGAAGCAGAAAGAATAGGTGTATACACAGAGCAAAGATTTGATTAGTGAGGGCTTCTGTGATTATCAAGCCTGACAAGTTCAAAATATGCATCATAGGCCAGGAGTGGTGGTGCATACCTGTCATTCAGCACTGGATAGGCTGAGGCAGGAGAATCGCACTGCAAGTTCAAGGGTGGCCTGGGCTACACAGTAAGCTCAAGGGCAGCCCTGAAACCTGGTCTCAAAAAGAAAAAAAGCATAACACCACAGCTAGAGACCCAGGAGAGCTGATGGTGCAATCCCAATCCTAAGAACCTGCTGGAGAATTTTCTCTTGGTTGGAGATAGCTAGTCTTATTCTAGTGTAACTATTGACTACATGAACCCACTGACATGAAAAGACAATCTGTTTACTCAGAATGCACTGATTTGCGGTTTCATCCAAAATGCATTTATCAGGGTTTTACTGGAAGAAGAGATAACACAAGATGGACAAATACAGAAGAAATTCCAAGATTGGCTTATGACAGTCACAGAGGCCGATGAGGAAGTATGCAGAGGGCATGTGCACACTGGAGTCAGAAGGATTCAGTCCAAGCTGTGGAGCTCACTGCAGTTTTCTGTGCAAGATGGAAGGCTGATGAGTCTACACTAGAAGGCTAAAGGATCCAAGGCAGAAGCTGGAGTCTGCGGAAGAAGCCAGAAGACAACGTCCAAGCTGACAGTGAAGACTGGAGCTCTTCCAAAGTAAAGTTTATCCTTTCTTTACACCCTAGGGTTTGAGTTTGTGGAGCGGATTTAGTTAAGCTTCTAAACTTCTCAAGTTGACACAGTGGATCAAGCACTACAGTGAGCCTATGAGAATTGTCTCTCATGAACAGGATTAATGCCAACATGAAAGGGGCTTCATGTGGTGTTCAGCTAGCTTGCCCTTTCTGAAAGCCTAGCACAAAGGCCTTCCACCCAACCAGCACCTTGAGCTTTGAGAAGTTTCTGTTCTTTGTATATTACCAACTCAGCTGGGTATGGTGATAACACACCTATAGCTCATCACCACTTGGGAGGCTGAGTCAGGCTTGGTTATAGTTTGAGGCCAACCTGGGCTGCATGGGTCAAGGCCAATCTGAACTACATAGTGAGTCTTGGATCTCAAACAAAATTACCTACTTTCAGATACTGGGTTATAGCAACAGAAATGGACCAAGCTCCAATATTGAATGAAAGGTGAATTTTCTGCTGAGACACAACAGACTTAACTGGTAAAACACCCACACTCACTGCCTAGTTTCAGTCATGTCTTCATATTTGCTTAGTGTCTCAGGTAGATAACAAATATCAGGACATTCACCATTAAACATTTTAGCTCATACTTTTAAAAAAAGGCACCGTTCCAGCAAAGCATGTGTTACCATCACACTTGAAATTCACACCAAATTCCAAGTATCTCCAAATAACTAAGAATACAGATCTCTCTACCTCTCCCCTAAATGTGTTACAGCTGACTTCTTCAGGTGAAGATCCAATTAAAGATTATGCATGGACTATATTGGTTTTATCACTTAAATTTCTTCAACCTTAAACAACCTTGCCACCTTCTCCCATTTTTTCACAGCATTGCATTATATTTTCATTTGAGAAGATCAGGCTAAATATAGGTGTTCTTTAACTAGTTTAAGTCAGTATTTCTTGCATGTTGGGAGTCAAACCTTAAGGCTCAGCCAGTTTAAATACCGCTGCTCTTCCTGTGACTTACTTAGCATTGCCACCACTGCAATATTGATTCAAATAGACCAGCCTTGAGGGCTCATATGCTTTTACTGGAATGTGTTGGATTTTCTTTAAAGATGCCAGAGGAGACCAGTGCACTAACCCTGTGATTGCAAGAAATTATCTTTTTTTTTTTTTTTGTGGAACTGAGGATTGAACTCAGGCCCTTGCGCTTGCCCGAGAAACACTTTATTCTACTGAGCCATCTCCCCAGTCCCAAGAATTTATCTCTTAAAACCTAAATTTCTTAAGTGAAAAGATTCAAAAGGAGCATGTTCCCTTTTCTGTGGAACCCTGGTTATACATTGCTGCTTTCTATGAAGGTTGACTCCAAAGAATTGGGCCTGCAAGGGAAGAATAGCCCAGCACTGTTGGTTTTGAGCTGCAGAAGATCTTGTCTTGAGCAACAGAGAATAAAAGGTGCCCTTGATATAGAAAGGACATTCGGGCATTAAAAAAAAAATTTGAAACACTAGAAATGACAAGATTTTTTTTTCTTTTATGAGGCAGGTTTTGCTCTGTAATTCAGGCTGGCCTTTAATTCACTATGTATCCTAAGATGGCCTGGAATATTCAATAATCCTCCTGCCTCAGCTTCCCAAAGGATTTTTTAAAAAACATAATGTAAACTAAGACTTATTATTAGGAGGACTCCACCTCGTAGATAATGCATGTTAAATTTATGACAGTTATTAGGTGAGGTATCCTGAGAAAAATTATTTCACCATTCAAGCTATATGATTATGGTATTAAAAGAATTATGAGTCATGTATTTAACTCCCAGTTGGCACATTCTTTCCATACTGGTTAGGATCAATAGTAATCTAGAGTTCTTATGAATATATGCATTTTTTTTTTTTTTTTTGCAGAACCGGGGATTGAACTCAGGTCCTTGGCGCTTACCAGGGAAGCGCTTATTCCACTGAGCCATCTTCCCGGCCCCGAATATATGCATTTTATACAATCAAAACAGCATCATCAGATAATGTTTCTATTTTTTTAGAGACAAGGTCTCACTATGTAGCCCAGGCTAACCTTGAATTTTCAGTGATCTTGCTGCCTCAGCCTTAGTGCTGGCATTACAAGCATGCGCCACCATGCCCAGGTTTGTTTCCTGTTTGTTTTTATTTTTTGGTACCAAGAATCAAACTTGTCCTGCTTGCCGAGCAGGCACTGTGCCACCAAGTCCAAGTTTTGTTTCTTAAGTCAAATATTTATTGGCCAAATTTTTACAGCCCTGCTTGTGTTAACTTTCACCATTGTTTATATTGACAATGTATTGTCTCACCTGATTGCTTTAAAAGAGATTTATACAAAAACATTCAAGACAAGAAACAGTCCTAAGGCTATTTTTTTTTCTTGTGACTTTTTCTATTTATTTATTTATTTATTTATTTATTTATTTGGCGGAACTGGGGATTGAACTCAGGTCCTTGTCCTTGCCAGGCAAGCATTTATTCTACTGAGCCATCTCCCCGGCCCCTTTCTTTTCATTTATTACCCTTTAAAAAAACCAAAAACTTTACTTGAGAGACATTATGGCAATAAATGGTACGTCCTGAGAAGAAGTACATATTTAGAAGACCAGGATGGCAGGCACTCCAAGCGCGACCCCTCTATTATACATCGCCATCCTCAGTGCAGCTGCCTGGCTCACAGGCACCAGCATATAGAGTTAGTCAGGGTGAGAATCTCACCAGCCAACCGCTAGTCTTGAAAACCTGCTCATGTCCCCCAGGATCACTGCCCCACCCATCTCATGCATACAAATGTATGACTTTGCCCCTGTCATGTTTCTCAGCTTTTCTCCTGGCCTACTCCTCACTGTCCAATCCTCAAGTTCTTGCTTTCCTTTTATTTGTGTTGTAACTTTCTATATGTAATTCCTCTTTTAAGTTCTTATACTAGGGAGACAATACGGTATTTACACATGTAAGCTGTCTACTTTTAATCTGAAGAGAATCCCTCTCACAAAAAGACATTCTGTGTTCATAGCAGCTACCGGATTCAGCTTTCAGTGACCTATGCAACTCATCATCACGTTTTGGTCTTTTTTTGATGCAGGGTCTCACTATGCAGTTCAGGCTGGCCTTGAGCTCACTTTGTGACCCAGGCTGGTTCTGAACTTGCACTGATACTTCTGCCTCAGCCTCCCCACTGCTGGGATTACAGGTGAGTGTCACCATGCCTGGCCTTGTTTTATAACTTCTTAATCATTTTCCAGGTTTCTTTTTTGGACAAAGGTACAGATCCACAGGTGATTAAATACTACAATCTATTTACTGTCTCCTCACCTTCTCCAACAGGTAGTAACTAGAAAAGTTAGACTGCAGGTTGGATTTTATTCTTTAAACAAGTTTGCACAGTTATTCTGGCCCCAACCACTACCTTATCTCCTGCCCTTAGGAAAGGAGAGTGCAAGAGCTGTAGTAATTAAGGTGGAAAAGAACTTCTGACCAGTTTTTAAACTTCCTGTACACTAGAATATGATAGAATTTCTCTGATGTTAAATAGTTTCTAACAATATAAATTTAAACACATCAGAGGACAGGGAGATAGCTCTGTGGTAAAGTTCATACTTATGCTGGGGGCCTTGGGCTCAGTTTGACACAAGTAAGATGAAATTTAAAATGAAATAAAATAATAAATCTGGGCTGGGGAGGTAGCTGACAAGTCTACGCACCTGCCTGGCAAGCGCAGGGACCCAAGTTCGAATCTCCATACCACATGCCATGCCAGCCCCACCTGTGCCAACCACTGAAACTGGGTATGGTGGTGCAGGCCTATAATCTCAGTGCCGGGGAGGCTGAGAAAGGAGGATCACTACAAGTTGGAACCATATAGCAAGACATTGTAACAAATAAATGAATAATAAAAAAGTTTAAGAAAATAAAAGTAGGTGTATTTATTTAATTTTTGAGACAGGGTCTACCTCTGGTATTCAGTTCAGGCTGGCCTTGAACTCAGCATACAGCACAGACTGGTCTCTAACTGGCAGGAATTATCCTGCTTTGTCTGCACAGTGCTAGGATTATAAGAGTATATTATGAACATACAGGGCAATCAGCATTTTGATCAGTCAACTGTTATTGTCTCCTCCTATACTAGTTGCTTATTCCTAGATGATCAAATGTGATTTTGGAAATCCATGACAAGGTAAGAATAAAGGGGTATAATTGTGCTGGAAGTAGAAGCCTAGTGAAATCCTAACCTTTTAAGGTCCTTGAATGGGCCTTCACAGATATTTGCATAAGTAATTTGGATAGCTATCCTGTTACCCATGTATTGGCAATCCTACCTCCCCTTGCTTATGCTGCATGCTCTGCTTAGAAAATACCTCTGTATGGGGCCAGGGAGATAGCTCAGTAGAATGAGTGCTTGCCTGGCAAGTGC